TTTAAGTTTTTTTCCTGTTTTTGGCTCTTTTTTTTTTTTTTTTCTGCCGAGAAAACTAAAAAAATCAAAGCATTAGTTGGTGCAAAAAAATAGGAAAAAACCCCCCATTTATCAGAAAAGTTCAAAAAAACATTTTGGACAATTCTTTTTTGTGGCTCTCTGGGGTCAGGGTTTTGATTGTTGGAGAATTTCCCAGGTGCAGGGTGGAACTTGTGCTTGATGCAGTGGTGGAATTTAAATCAGTGTCTCCCACCTGGAGATTGTCTTCCAGCTACCTGCAAGGCAATGGGTAAAAATTCAGGGAATCAGTCTCCATCCCTGCTTCTAAGGAAGTTGAATGCTGAGATTTTTTTTAAAAATACAAATTTTTCAGATTTTCAAATCTACATCTGAGGGGTTGTGTGTGTGTGTGTCCCAGTGGCCATAAATGTTCTGAAATTGTCTTATAACTTAAAAAATTAACTTTTTACAGATCTTTGAGATCATTGAGTCCAACCATACACACAAAAAAACCCCCAAACAAACAAACAAAAAAAATCCCACCCAACCCACTTCTGTACGTTCTTGTTTCCACTCTTCCATTTGGTTTTTTTAAAAGCAAGAAGATCTCACATTTCTTACTCCATCACCTAAAATCAAGGAATCATCAACCTATGGGCAATACAAATATACACGACAAAACCAGGCAGTGACCTGCCCTGGTGCTTCGGCAGAGAACTGTGCAGACTATAAATCACACATCGGATTTCACCTTTTTCCCATCTTGTGTACCTGAAGGAGGATCAATAGGGATTGCTGGCAGCGAGATGGAGGAGATGTTCCTTTTATTTAGCGGCGTTTTCTAAATGGTAACAGATGTTCAGCGAAGGGAGGAGGAAAACAATTGCACTTCAGCAGCGGATTGCACCAAATATGGATCCTAGCAAGGTGCAGGAACTGATTTAACAAGGCACATTTTAGAAAAATCCAAGGTCAGAAAGCACTTTTTAGGTTGTCACAGGGAATTGCGCTCATCTCTCTGACTGTGCAGGAGGAAAGACCCCTGGCCCGGCAGGAAAATACATAGAAAACTCTGATTCTCCTCAGAGCAGCTTTCCTGGTGCAGTGACAGAGCAAGGGAGTATTACTGAGCAATAGCACCACTTGTCCTACAGAGCCTTAGATCCAGATCTTGAGGCTTTTCAGCCTCTGATGCCTTCAAAGATGGGAAGCAGACCCTGGGAGCTGGCCAGGTCCCTGCCCTGTGGCAGACCTACACCCGTACCCTGGCTCAGAGCAAGTCCACCCAGCCCAGTCTTTCCTCTCCAACATCACTCCTAAAATGGGAATACAGGAACAGTTGCCCCAAGGAGACGTCTTAGGAAAAGGAAGGACGGGGCCCAGCGGTCTCCCAGCTGGTGAGGTTCTTCAGCTCTGGAACCTTCCGGAGTCTCACAGAGTTTGTCTACTCAGCACCTCTCACCAGACCCCTCTTTGCAAATATTTGTTCAGTGTTTCCTTGAATCCACCGAGACTGTGGGCATCCACAGTTTCCTTTGAAGAGGGCTCTCGCAGACTTCATTCAAGGGGGACTGTCCTCCCGTGGAGGACACCGAGTTGAGAAGATCAATATCTCACCTATTCTAAACTCTTTTGAATTTCACTCTTTTTTACCTTACCCTTGAGTAACAATCAAGAGTAGTCACGGTCCTGGTTCTCCCCACAGGGAGTCAGACAGCAAGGGAAGGAGAAAAGCCTCAGCTTCTTTACCAAAAACCTTTCTGTGGACCTGGAGACACTTCTCTTTTCCCTATCCCAGTCGTAGCTCAGGATCCCTCTGCACTGTGCATTTAAATAAATCACAGATTTATGAAGTGTGCATTGGTGGGCAACACATAAAACACCCATTCCCCAAAATATTACACAGTGTTGCATAGTCTGGACTATCTGCGAGAAAAATACTTCTAATAATTCCACATTAAAGGAAATGCTAGGCCTCTCCACATCTATTTTAGCCCTTGCATACTAACTAGATATATTAGGGCTATAAATACATTGCAGTGCAAGACAAGAGAAAGTAATTTAACCCTTATCTTGCACAACATTAAATACTTGGAGGATTCGGAGGAGTAAAAAAAAAAAATAAATTAGCAGGGCTGTTCATCACTGGTTTATGTCCAGGTAAAACGTTACGTGCAACACTCCACATCCAGTTCCTGAAGCTGGAAAGAGATTTCCATCGACATACAACAGTCCCCACCACTGGGACAAACAGAAAGAAGTGTAAGAAATGTCCATGAAGCCTTAATTAATAACAAAACCTAGCAATCAGACAGCCTGGCTGTGAGGAGTCAGGAAAGCTGGAAGAACCAAAGACTGGGAGCTGCTGGGGGGCGACCAGCGGTTTCCAGCAGAAGGTGGTTACACCTCTCAGGCTGCACACTCTTCACAAACACCCGGCCACAACGCTCCCTGGCATGTTCTTAGAAAGTTTTAGGAGCCTAAATGTAATTGTAGAGGGAATAAAGGATTTTCAACATCCATAGGCTCCCCCGCACACTTTTAAGAGAGAGAATTCTCAGCTTTACAAGGGTTGCATGTTCTCAACTCTTATTGTGACCGAAATAAAAAAAACCAAACCACCCCTTATCCCCCACAAAAGTCCACAATGACTACATTAGTCATAACTCAAAAGACGTGAAAAAAAGGATCCATTTTAGTCCAGCTACAGAACTGAAGGTCGTCGCATAAACTCGAGATGCTTTGAAGAGAGGCATGGAAATGAAAATCAAGCGGCGATAAGCAATTCTCTTGTAAAACCTTTTCCACCGTTTCCCTCTCAAGAAGCAGCGTGCATTCGCATTTTGGAGACAAAGCAAAACAATCATTAGAACATTTTCATTCCAAAGGAAATAGATAAACAACTTAACCATTTATTTGACTGCATTGTATTTAGACAGCTTGTACATTTCATAACCCCACTGTTTTTGTTCTCATCAAAAAGGATAAAGGGACAGAAGAATATAATCCACTCAGAACAGCAGTCCAGTATTTTTTTTTTTGAGATACACTTGATATTTTCATAGATGCCCACCTGATACCTGAACTCCAATATAGGTTGTAATGTTTATACAAGACCTGAAATCATATTTTTTTTGTAACATAGCACTCAGTTTTAGCAACGTCTTGCAGTGCCCTGAAAAATAGTTTTGTGACGTATTATGCAACGCCAATTAGATGATGCCTACTTTTCTCGACGGTGATGAAGCTGATCGTTTCTTAAAAAGAAAATAACAGAATGCAAACATCCATCCCAACACATCAGCCAACAGCAACATCTGGGCTAATTCAAACATAAAAGTGATCGACTCCTTAGTTAGATTTGTCAATGCAAAAAAGGTGAATTGGGGGGGGGAGGGAAGAGGACGGCGTTGTAGCAACAGACATGAGAAATAACCAACTTTTCATTGCTGGATTTCTTTGGAAAACCTGCTTTCCTCTCTTTGCCAATTGGGAACTTCCCGCTTGACGCCCGCATCCCAAGCGACACAGAGAACAAATCTGGTTTCTTTCAATACGACCCAAGGCGTGCACAGCTCCAGCATCTCCCACAGCAAACTGCCTGTTACACACCAGCAACGGCAGAACCTCTCGGGCAACAGGCTCTTTTAAAAGAAAGGTGCCCCTATTTTGCGCAGCGTTTTCGAACCCCGCATGGCGACAACTGCTTCTTACAATAAACAAACAAGAATTGTATTTGAAGTTCGCTCAGAAGCAATGGGGTTTTTTGGTTTTTTTGGCAGTGCCTTCGTGCAAAGGGATTTTCAGCTAAGCTCCTAAGTTGCGTTTTGAATGTGAAGACACCCACGGCTTAATTATTAACCAATAGAAAACTTGCCTGTCTGGCTTTTCGGTTTTTAAACATCAGCAGACACACAAGACGGCCGGGTTTGCAGTTTGCGATACGAGTCCGACAGCCGCTACCAAAACCTCCCTCTTCTGCCTCCTTACTTCAAGTCACTGCGCCCTGCACCCCTGAGAGAAGTCCCTTTTCAATGGATTTAGCATTTAGGTCTTAAAACTACAAGTGGAACCTCCTAAAAAAAAAAACAACCTGGCAAACCTGAGGGATGGGGATAACAAAAGGTTGAGGCGTGTCACGAGGCAGCAGCGATGGGCTTTAGGCTGAACTCCAGCTTGTTCTGCGAATAACAGACTCGGGCACCCTTTTAAATATGAGTTTTCTTTACCGAGGGGAACAAACCCCCTTCAAAAGCACAAATGGGGTTTACAAGCAGAAAACTCAGAAGGGCCGATTTCCGTTAAAAATCTTTATTTTCAAATACAACTCATAATTTGTACATGGTAAGAAACGTCCATCACCATGTGCGATTCGTCTGTGCAAAATAAGGCTTTCCTTTAAATCCAGTTTTCCTGCACAGGGCTCTTTTCCAAATGTTACTGGAAAAAAAAAAAAAAAAGAACCACCCATGACTCAAACCAAACCCTAAAAAAAAAGGAAAAAAAAAAAGTGTAGTAAGGCAAATCTGAAGAGTACGCTCAGCTACAGAAGAGTGGATTCACTGAGAGTTCATCCTTTTCACAGATTACGTAGGTTCTTCCACAAGTCAACTAATACCTTTGTTGTTCTTTTTGTTTCCAAAGTGAAAAAAACAAAAACCCAACTGATTCATAGAACTGGGCTATATGATCACGCTGAACAAGAAAGCCTAGACACTGTAATTACTGAAAAAAAAATTGATGGGTATTGATAAAACTTCTGTAAACCAAATTAAAGAAATGAAAAAAAAAAAGAAAGCTAAAAACAGAGCAAGAGCAAATGCAAGAAAGAGAGAAAGAGAGAGAGACAGAGAGAGAGAAGTCCTTCCCCGCTGCTTCGGTTTTGGAGGGGAAAAAATCCCCCAGCATCTCAGCTCATGTAAGTTTAGAGAAAATGAGAGCAGCTAAAAATGGATACAATACACCTTGAAATTTATTTCCAAGACCAAGAACCAAAGATTGAAGCATTTTAGAACACTGAAGCAAAGCAATCTGAATCTGAAAAAAAAAAAATTGTTCCAACTATCTTAAAATAGCTGTTTTTCAGAGCTTCTAGCAATAATTTTGATTAAATAAAATCATACCAATTTACATTAATTTTCTATATCTTCTTTTAAAAAGTCCCTCACTCTTTTAACGAAAAAAGTGCATCCAAAACCAGCAGAGGTTTACTGGTGACATCAGGTTCTCTTTTAGCAGCTACTCAAGGTTTTCAAAATAGCTTACACTTCTTGCTATAAGAAAAGAAGGGCCTTCCAAACCCTCGTTTGGGAGAAGTATCCAAATTATAAAAATCTGAAATAATTTATTATCAAATCCAGAATTTAAATAAAAGCAGAAATTTTCTTGCAAAGACAATTGAAGAAAGTAAAAGAATAAAAGCATGCACTCCAAACTTAGAGGTGAAGACAAATATACTTATCTATACAGGCACTGGCAGACGCAATTTAATTGTTACTGTTACTCATTGTAACACACACCCCACCCTACAATACATTTTTTCATTCACTAATCACTGAGGTACCAATATTTAAGAATGGAAAATTCAATATTGAAAAATAAAACCTAAAATTGAAGCCTTTTCCCAGAAAACTATGGCAATTTTTTGTATGAAATGTTAGTATACTTATAGAATTTTACAATCTACATTGGCTTTTTTTTTTTGTTTGTTTTTTTATTCCTGGAACCAAAAGTCGCGTTCCACAGACAGGTTCTTTGATAAAATGTTCACCGTGTTATGCAATACAGTCAGTAGACTTGCAAATGAATGAACATATCTTGGCTATCGACTGGCACATCTCGCTGGTACCAAAAGAACTCCCAAGTTTGAAACAATCGGTTTTTAATTCGAAACAAACGCGCCATGCCAAAGTGCAACAAATATGTGCGACACTCAATGAGACACTGACAGAAAGAGCTGCATGGAAATTACTAAGTCCACTCCTGCAAAGCAATTTTTGGACAAATTGCATTGCATGCAAAGGACAACTCTGCACTGTTGGGACGTCAGTCGCTTGATGGGATGGTGTCTTTTAACGCAGCCATAGTTTAAGACGCAGTGCATCAACTCCATTTAAATAGTATCTGAACAGCCTCTTGTCTCGCACAAAACCAAGGTTTTCATAAAGTTTCAAAGCAGACTTATTTGTGATTTCTGTTTCCAATACAACCTTTATGGAAAGAAAGAAGAAGAAAAAAAATATTAGGAAGCAGTTGCAATTACATGACTACTGAAGCAATTTCAACGTTTTTATTTAAAGGTACGCTTATTAGCAAGGAGTGGAATTAATTTTTTCTTGTCCTGACTTATCAAAGCAACCTCTCTCCATTCCAACATTTAAAAAAACTAGCAATTAATCAATAAGTGTAACTGTAAACCAATTCATATCAAGATTTTAGTTCTTTGCTACTCATTACCTAATAGCCAGGGTAAACACCAACCAACCAAACTCTAAACAATCTCTGCCTCCCAACATCCCCCTCCCCAAAAAAACCCACCAAAACCCAACCTACCAAACAGGTCAGGGGCCAAAACATACTTTGAATTTTGAATGGGCAACTGAACTTTTGCGTGTCACAAGAACTTGGCACACAAGCTTTTGTTTAGTCATTTAATATCTTTGACCTCTAATTGGACAGATTTAGCCCTAGATATACACTTCAGCATTCTACAACTGGCTGTCAGACCCAACATTTGCGATGAATATTTGTGCTCAACATGAGTATCCCAAACTCAAATCGGGGTGCAGGAAGAGAGAGCAGCTTTTTCCATCTTTTTCCCCCTGTGTTGGCAAGAGCCCAGTTGCAGAAAGGTCTGTCCAAGCTTAGACCAAACCCAAGCGTAAGAGTAATTGAAATTAAGCGAAGACTCAAAATCATCCCAGAAGTCTCAACTACGGGCAAAAAACTATACTGATAATAACAAGAAGTTAAATACAAAACTGCTAAAGTGTGTCACTCTGAATTGTTGTCCCACCTTCTCCCCAAATGCACTGAGCAGGGCCCTGGAACACCTGGAGCCCTGCACCCACTCCAAATGATAAACACTTGTTTTGCCTCTTTACTGTTGTCCCACTCAATTATTTAAAGATTCTGCTATTAAGGACAGGTCACGATTATGCAAGAACACAGGCTGAACTAATGAGCTGACCAGACTACGTACAGTCCCATGACAGCGTACATTCACATATTAAACAAGAGCTGATGGACACTGTAGAAAGACCATAGAATGAAAATACAGCCTAAGCAATTTCTGCAGCAAACCGGCGATTGCTGCCACTGCTAAGTCCACTGATGGCTATTTCTAAACCAGCATTTGATACCCTGCTCTGTGTAGTTAGAGCTATATACATAAAACTCCCTTAGTCCAAAAATAGTCATCTACCCCACCTCAAAACCCAGGGCTCCCTTTCCTTTCCCTCCCCTCCAATAAAAAGCAGGAAAACTGTTTAACCACTCCCTACCCCCTCAAAACTAGGAACAAAATCTTAGCCTGTATTTGTACAGTTAGTTTAATCAATCTACTTTATGGACCCTGTGCCCTCAGTGCCTTCAGCCTCGCATTTCCAGTCTCCCTCACCCCTTCTGCCAGCTCCCTAGGATTGTTGCTGCACTACTTCAAAAAGCAACCAGGCAGAAAACCTTCCCTTTTTCTCTCCCTATGGTTTGCTTTCCAAGGAGTGGCCAAGCCAACATAAAAGAGGGAGGCAGCCAGCAGTTAGACTGGTCACCTTCAGTAAGATTCTATGATCCGGTTAATGTATATATTTGACCATTACTCAAGTTTCAAGCCACTCTGACCACATTCCAATGGATAATTCACCCTCTGCTTCTCCAGCATAAGAATGTGTGAAAGAAAAGTAAATCTGGAACTAACAACTCAATGAACAACATACTCTGGGGGAAAAATAAGACCTAGAAATAGTTCATTTGCCAAAAAGGAACTAAGAGTCACACATTAAAGTATAAACAGTCAGAGTTCACAGTTTGTTGAATGTCCGCTCTTAAGACAAAGTAATTCAAGCCTCAGTCTTATGGCAAGAATTAGAGTTTGAATTTCTCTCACTGGCACTTCATAGAACATTACTATCAAGTCTTGTGGCTCGAGTGATTATTCTTAACATCCGTAATCCATTAAAATGGGTATCTATTAATTTATAGCAAGTTATGGTAGTAAAATAGTTTTCCTGAGAAGTGACGTTTTCTACATAATTATGTACGTTGTACAGCTTCTTAAATCAAATTAAAACAAAGCATTATGCCAAAGAGGAAATCTCCTGTGTAAATCCCCAGTGTTACTTGAAATCCAGCTACAAATGGCATTCGCTGTCATAAAAGGTTAGTAACCTGGCAGAGTGACACAACGAGTCTGCATTCAGCCTCGAAGTGCTGACAGCCTTCCAACTGTCTGCAGATCATTCAATTTAAGGGAGTGGTTAAATGTTGAAATTCAGGTTTGTTGGAATCCCACTACCTGAGTGAATGCTCATCCTGAAAGCAAACGCAAGAGATTTGCTCTGGTATTTCTAAGGAAGACTCAGCAAAATTCAAAGTAGTTCCCTGATCTCAAAGGGTTAGAGACGTGTTTCTGTTATCTAATAAGGAAACACACCCATATTTTATCCAAACTTCATTAGCTTTGTTTTATGAAGGATTCATCTCTTCCTGTGTGAGATTTTCAATCAAGCTGCAAACCTTCAATCATCACATTTATTTCTGGTCTCACAGGGTCTATTTTGTTGTACACATATGCCTGTTAAATCCTCTAATAACCCAAATGCATCCTCCCCTGGAGACCAGCAAAAGTCTGATTGGACTTAACAACATTTTCTGCAGAAGCTGCAGCTTTCTGAAGGCTGGTCCTTTCTCTTATGTCTTAAATTTCATAAACCTAACATTTTATCTCAACTCTCTAATTTTAATTGAGCTTAGAAGCAAGAAACCTTCTATAGTGAGAGCGGAGTGCAGTGTTTCTGGTTATTACATCTTCCTATCTAGAATTTATTCCTAAACTGAAGAAAAACGGAGAGGTCAAGCTTCTTCAGTTCAAACTCTGAATGAACTCCAGTCTAGAAACCAAGCCACAGAATTAATACAGCCAAACCAAATAAGCAAATGAAGGAAGGACCCTCTCAGCACTCACAGGAGAGGTTGTTACTCTTCCTCCTAAGTCTGGCAAGTTATGGGCACCTGCCCAGTGCCCTTAATCAGTTTAAGTGCCTCAACTTTTAAAGAAAGACAGCACTCAAAATATAACATTTAAAACTCTAAATGATTTGTAGCTTAAGAAAAAGCAGAGATTCCAATAGTTTGACAGTTTCAAATAGGATTATATAAAAATACACATTTAATTTTTCCAAGTGTGGGACTGAATTAAAGTGACACACCTACCGGTGTGGTCAAAAAACCTGACTTTACATCACCCTAAAGTCTCAATGGGAATTCAAGTTGCAACTCCTTTTCACATTCTACATTTTGCTTAAAAAAAAGCTCTTAGACATAGCCTTATTTTGATTAGTTACCAGGTAGCTGGTACATTATTTCAGTAATATGAATTGAATGAATCATATGCAGATTACTTACGGTCATTTGTTACAGATGGAAAACCTACACATGAATGAAAAACTCCTCCTTCCTAATAGTGATTAAGGGATGTTACAGTTCCACATGAAGGTCTACGCAGTATAATTTTTGAAAATTGCTTCTCAGTAAAAACTAAGCAAATGTACAAAACTCAAATAACATCCAAATAACATCAAATGTCTGAGAAAGTCACCAATGGTTAAAAAAATAAAATAAAAAAAAAAATCAAAGATCCCTCGAGTTTTGCAATGTTATATCCAGACACTCCAGCTCAAAGCATGTTATTAGGTACTTTCTTCAGGCTTAAAAGTTATTTCTAGTTCAACCACCCACCCCCAACATCTGATCACTTCCCTGGTTTCTATTCTAAAACAGGCCACGGCCAGCTCCATGGCCATCTCTTCCCCTCACTCAGATTCCACCCCAGTTAATTTACTTCTTCACTTACCCCACGGCTTCCTCAAGCCAGGAAACAACCCCTGGCTGGAAGGATATTGCCTCTTAGCTTTGAGGTGTGACATATAGCATAAACTACCTCTTAGGCAGCTGGCTGACCACTGAAAATCACTTGTTCCATAGGGCTGGCTTAGTTGATTCCCAGTAAATTACTTACAGGAAATAAAAATGTCCTTAATCACTAAAATATTGCAGCATACTTTGACATGCTACATCAGTAGTGATTTTTCAAGATTTTCATCTATGGTGCTGTATATATCCTCTATGTTTCAGGACTTAACGTTGATACCTCAAAAGTCCAATCTACGGTACTGAGAAATGTAACACACTGAACAAAGTATTTATCAGATTATATACCACAAGTTATTAAAATTAAGTACATTTACGGCAACTATTCCATAATTAGATTGAAGGGAAGAGTTCTCAAGCAGCCTTTGGAAAATTTTCATGACACGTACAGCTGCATATTCATGATCTTAATCCTATTCCGAGCAAGTTTCAGAAAATAGCAGATTTTTGAATTGCAGTTCATCTTATGTCAAGTAGCAGCATTTTTTTTTATTTTCATCATTTTATTAAGGGATGTAGAAAAGTATCTTAAGAGCAGCTGAGATGAGTAAACTATTTACACGCCTCACAAAGACTAATTATTGTAATGTAGTACTTTGATCAGCTCCAGGCATCAATTAAAAAGGCAAAAAACATTCTCCCAACAACTTTTGTTAAAACTGGTGAGGATAAGTGCCTTGGCTCTGTCAGACAGGGCTTTTAATGAGTGGCTAGCTGGATTTTTCAGATTCTGGTCATGACTGAAAGCTCAGCAATCCACCATTTGGTACAAGTAACCAACTTCATAGTATGTGTAAAAGAACACACTGTGTTCTCACTCTGTTTTCACTGTATGTGAAAAAGAACAACATAAATATATCAAATCAGTGTGGGTATGACTCTGCTGGCCGGCGTAGAAAGTCAGAAATATACTCTGCTTGCTCTCCGTGATTTCAAAATTCTGTGCCAGCACAAGGCTCTGCTGATGCAAAAGCCCCCAAGAAGCAGGGCATAATTACTTCAGAATCATCATCCCACAAACACGGTTACACAGTTTCCAAACTGGATCTGAAACAAGCCTGCACCCGTCCAGCACACACTCCAAGGAGCTTGAACTGCAGTGCCTTCGATTAAAGAGGGACATCAATAGTCTCTCAAAAACACCCCATGCACTTAGTACAAAGCATTTATACAGCACCAGAGATGAAAATCTGCCACTCAGACTTAATGAGGTCCTACTGCACACTAGCTTGTGATCCTTATCCCATTTATTTCATTTTTACAAAGATGAAAAGCAGTAAGGAGGACTCTTGGACTAATATTACAGCGGTAGAAAAAAAAGACAGACACAGGAGAGATCGTTAGGCGTACACCCGTTAGATAGTCCAATTTAGAAATGAAGTTACACGAGTTGCATGTACACAACACTCAGAAATCACATGGGAACTCTTGCAACCCTGGTAGCTTGAGTAGAAAAAGCCAGTTCTACTACTGACAGTAACAACAGTAGGCAATTCACTTCACTCCTCCGCATCTCAATTGTTCAACTGTGATGTGAACAGCGTGACACCATTCCTCAATCATTTTTAAATTTTTTTTTAAATCTTGAATACTCTAGCAATGGCAAATGAATTCAAGAACATAGTGGAATGCAATAGAAAAAGCAAACAAACAGCTTTTCTTGATTAGTTCAATGTAGGAAGTGGTAAAACAGATTAGAGCAAAGCATATTACATATGATACTAGAAGCAACAAGCCAAAACACAGAATTTGAAGAATTACAGAACTATCAGATTGCACTACACTGCCCGAGTCCAACTTAATTACGGGGGGAGGAGGAGAAGGGGGAAATAGACACCAGTAAGCAGAGGCATGAAGGAATCTGACAGGAAGAATAAATGAATGAAGTCAGAACACATGCAAGGATGCTGCAAGAGGCATAACACAACACGTGGAAAAATAAACAGAGTATGTGCCAGAAGTCCTGTGACACAAGTTGTAGTTTTGGATAAGAAACTTCACCATGTGGCAGGAGGAGAATTGAGGGAGCAGCTGAAAGGCGGTAACAGAGAGATCAAAGGGTCATTAACTCTGACACACTGAAATGGCACAGTGCTCACAAGGCAGGAACAAGCGAAAAATTGCATTGTACCGAGCAGATGAAAGTTAAAGGGACAGACAACTGGATGAAGGAGAATGGACATAGAGAAAGTTCTTCACAGGTTAGACATGGCACATAGTTAGTTGCTATATATATATGTATCTGTGTGTATATATATAAAATTAAAAAAAAAGATAAGGGATTCTGATCTGGCAAAAGGAAATACTGGTAACATATAGGCCAGAGAAAGTTTAACAGCCATTCAGCCACTTTCCTTCCAAGTTTTTGTTGACATTTTAAGTCATGAGAGTTCTGTTAGCACTACATAATACAGCTATACGCTGTCAGAACAGCCTGATGACTTGTTGTGATAAAACCCTATTCTGCAATACTACAGTACGTACCGTTCCAGTATCTCTGTGTTTCTGAAAATACAGAAGAACTACACACAATGTGCAAGTTACACTGGTCGGTAGCACCTTAAACTAGAGTCTTTGGAGGAAAACGTGCCTGTGACCAAAGGCTGTGACAGTTTGCAAAGTAAAGCAAAACCTGAAACACTGAACTTGAGCCCTTAAGACAAATTTAGAAAATCCTTCCCCTATTCGCACCATATGTTTTCCTGAAGTTATTTTTCCCTTTATTATAAAAGGAATAGCTTCTTACCAACCCACTCCCCACCTAAAAAAAGTCCTGTAGAAGAAAAACCTGTGAAATGAAGCCACATATAGGAGAATGCAAACCATTTACATTATGAAAGGTTTTGATTATAAAATCTTACCTCATCACAATCTCCTTCAACCATAGCATAAATAGCTTTCTTAACCAAGTTTGTACCTGAAATATAGATTTGAGTGAGTGTCAGAGTTGCAATGCAGAAGATGCTTGTTTATATACGACTTAACATGTGCTACCTACATGACATGAGGCCTGGGGAGAGCAGGGAGGAAAGAAAGAAAGAAAGAAGTTGCAGTCAAGTTGCAGTCTCAAGTTTGGACATTAAAATAATCCGTAAAGTTATCCAGAGACTCAGCTTGAGCGCAAGATTCTTCAACACAGGGATATTAGAAACAGGCTTCTATGTTTAACATGGTGTTATATATAGCCTTCCAAGATGTGATTCATTCCTTTTTGTTGCATTTAAAGTCAAACTCTGCTGGCGTGTACTTGAAGGACATTCATCTTCCAAGGGAATTTCCTCTTACTAAAACAAATACTTCTATTAGTAACAGAACTTATGAAACCACTTTCCTTGTGGCTCACTCCCATTTGGATTTGCTACTATCTACTAATATGGTTGAAGCTCTTCCCTTCCCCTTAGTCAAGCATTAATTTAATTTTTTATTGCTATTTTTCATCTATTTCACAACAGTTCTACAAATGTAATATCCCTACCTGTCTGTAGAATTGGGGTGAAATTGAAAGTTGATTTCAAAGTTATTAGTGGAAAAAACTGCTGTTCAATGAAATTGCATAAAATCTCACTTCCATAAGAAGGCTAAGGAAAAGGAAAAAAAAAACCCCAAGGAATCTAGAGAATGTTTTAAAGTATTATCAAAACTTTAATCAACTAAGATTTCTTGGTGAACGTACGACAAAACTGAACCACATTTAAAACAAATCTTCAGATTAACAGCATACTTTGAGAAACAGCAAGAAAGGTGGCAAATGTAGGAAAAAGTAATGCTAAAGTAAGCAAGGCCTTAAATGTAAATTCTATTTATATAATTCTAACATAATGAACTGACTAAAGTGAGGGAAAAATATTGCAGAGATTCTCATAATAACAGCATTAGTTCTTATTTACTCATGAGTCCAAGCACCTGCAATTAAATTATGGCAGGCTCCTTCATGACTCAGCTAAAAGGAAAGGAGAGACAGTGATTTCTCAGTATCCTCTTCCCTCTGCTCCCCTAGAGAAACCAACAATGGCTTTTGAATTGCACTGAAGGGGAAAAAAAATAAATAAATCCACACATGCTTCAATAGCCATGATAATACGCAGTTTTTGGAGGGTTTCTTTTTGTTTGTTTGTTTTTTAAGAGGAAAACAAACATAATGGTACCATTCTGTGAAGCACCACCATTTTTCCAATGCAAGTAATTTTCTGTCTTTAATCACAAAAGTATGAGCTGTTCAGTGTGAATGAGTGGTGATGCACATTTCTAGGCTTTCAAGCTGACGTCTACGTTTTAAGTTCAAAAATATATTACAAAATGTAATTTCACAATAACCAACACCAAAAAAACCCCAAGTTCCTTAAGAACAGATCTTTAATTAAGCCAACTTGGACAACTGGTGTTAAATGAAAATCCCTTCATCAGGGCAAAACCTGGTCAACAAGGGAGGGGAAACTCCCTGCCAAGAGTGATTTCTTTTATCGTGTAACTTCCCAACAAAATGCACCTCCGTTTCAGCCACTCAAATAGCCATACACAACTATTCTTCTTCACTTATTAATACAATAATGAGCTACATACATTCTCCCCAACGGGCAATATATGCATAATTGATAGGGGAAAGCCAAGGGATAAATCCACTGAAAAAAGATAGACTGAACATAACATAGAAACACAGTGATGAGGGCACATATAAAAATGCAAAGCAATTCCCTCTGTTGTTATGTGACAGAGGTAATAGGCAGAGGTAAGGGGCTGATGACTGCCTTTCTTTTCAGCTTTATCATATCCCAGATATAAATCTCATAGGGCATTTCAGGTTATTTTAATAAAATTTTTAAAAAGCCACTGGGGAGCTTGTGCGGTCGAGTAAGGCAAGGATGACAGACAAACCACCGCATCTAGAAATTCAGTTCTGCTTAAATCTTTATGACAGCTACAGTTACCCCAACTACAGGATTGAAGTAAGAAATAACAAAAAAAAGGCTATTCTTACCAATTCCTTTTCTTCTGTATTTGGAATCCACTGCTAACATGGCTATATAACCTCTGCGGAACATCTTTTTGTGCATATCCAGCTTGCAGACGATGGCACCTACACACTCCTCACCTACCATGGCCTTAAAGACAAACATACACGTATGCATTCTCAGTTCGTGATCTACAGAGCTGCCAAAAGTAGTAAACCAGTTCATTTCAAGTGAAACAGCCACACAAAATTTGTTTGCATAAAGTTATTAAAAAAAAAACAACTAAAAACATATTTTAAAAATGTCTCCAAAAGTATAAATAAGATTAAAGGATTCTTAATTCTTTATTACATTCAAATAAAGTTACAGTCAATTAATAACCAATGAATTGTCCTGGAGAGAACCACATTATTATTCCATGAAGTCTACAGGCAAAAACACGTGTGATAAAATGGAGCAGGGACGATCAAGTTAATGCATAAATCACCCTTTCACATGGCCTGCCACAGAGGTAAAAAAAATTCCATTCCTGTTCTACAGCAATCTGAATTTTTAGGTACAAGGGCTATGGTAGATAACACGCTTAATTTTTGTCTGCTTTTAATGTCAAGGCCACAATGGATCAGTGAAAAACGTTGCTATGTTTAATCTTTAGAAACTGTCATTTTCAGTCACATGACACCCAAAGAACAAATAAAAAAAGCACACAGTTAATTTCACACATTTTAACTATTCAGAGATTTCATTTGTTAAGGGCTATGCACTGACTGTTAATCCCAATGGTATTGTCACCAAAAGTGTGGTCAGGGAGATGTAGTTATTCTGAAATATTTAAGAAAAAAAACCACCAAACAAACCAGAAAGAAAAGAACTCCTCCCCAAACGCTTATCAAACTACTTGCACAACCACTGTGTTCACCAAAATTTTACCATGAAATGTATCAGAGAAAGACTGTAAGAAAAAACTAAGTCATATGTTAACTGAAAGATTAGGCAGCCTAAGAGATTAATGACATTATAACCTGCAGCAGTAAAACTGAATAATGCTGCAGAGTAGGACAGCATCCAAGTGGAGAATGAATTACTATTCATTCAGGAAAGACTGACAGAGATAAAAAAGAAACTCATAATTGTACGTATGGGTATATAAGTGGATCCACAGCCTTTGAGAGACCTGTATCTGCAGGGGGGAACTCGCCTTCAGCTCAAGGGAAGCAACTAACCTGGGACTGGAGCACATGATTGGCACAGGCATGTGCTAGCACCAGGGCTTGGGGAGAATCCAAATTTACAACAGCAAGACACTTCAAACAGAAAGGACTCTCCAAAGCCAGAGCTGGCCAGGCCTCAGTGCAGCCCACCTGCGAACCCACTTCTCCAAAGCCTATGGTATAGATCCTATAGCCTCCAGCCACCTCAACCTTTTCATATACAGCTTATAGGCTAAGACTCTACGGACAGAAGAGGCACTCCTGCAGGTCATATCACAGGCACAAACCCACTGTTATTTGGCCCAAAGAAGAATCTCATCTTCTAGCATCTCTATCTGGATGGTGGGTTATTAACCAAGTTCTCTCTCAACCAGCAGCTGTATCACAGGTGAAACGAAGCAGCCCAAGATGTAAGAGCTGCAGCTCCAAAGCTCTGCAAAGCAGCAGGATCCTAACACCATTTCTAATATAGTCTAAGCTCATCAGGCAAATATAATTATTGCTAAGTTTTTATTTGGCAGGAAACCACATTTTTGCAGTATCCAAGAACAACCCTGAACAATCTAAACAAGTGTTTTTTTTAAAATAAAAGCTGTATTTCAGTCCATTTAGATCACGCTGCACAGCCTCCAAGTAATCTTTCATTTGGTCTAAAACACAGTTTAATCCATAAAAAAATGAAAAGCTCTACTTAAACTAAAACTATGTATGCAAAGTGTCAGCTCAAGGCAAGTTTTGTATCTCGGCTCAGACCTGAGAAAACCAGGGAGTTAAATAAAGAGTATCATCAGACAGACTGTTCATAACATTGCTATAATTATGCAGAGCACCTAGATGTAATCTTATACCTCACTAAAAAAAAAAAAAAGCAGCACCGCAAACTAAACATGTTACAGTTGTGCTTTGCCCTGAAGTGAACACGTGCAAACTGTTGATTGTAACAGTCATGTGGAGAATTTTTAAGATTTTTTTTTTTAACACACTTCAAGAGTAGTGGCATTCTAGACTCTGAGTATCTGTGTTCTTTCTTGTTTAGAGCTCTTTTCAGAAAAGCTGTGTTCATTAATCATACGTTTAAAATGCTAAATGAACGGCAAAGAAATTTTGCTTCAGTGATCAAAGCAGCAAGTACCCCACTGGTTTTACCACTGTTGCCAGAGAGCTGAATAAAGTACAACTTTGTTACCAGTTCCTCAAACACTGAAATCTATTTCTCTGTCTTCAGGCAGGTAAATCTGCCAGTTCATCTACATTGTTCCACTTACAGAGGGAGTGCTGCGTTTCCACCTCAATTTGAGGTTTTTTTGTTGCCTTTCCTCTCCTTTCTCCTTCTCTCCAACCTTATCTAAAGCTGGAAATGAACTAGAATGCAATGTAAAACTTTGTAACTTAATTCCCTAGAGAAGGTTAAACTGTGTAAATAAAAAAAAGCCCAGACAGATACAGGGAGGGGAGAGAAAAAGTAGCTGCCACAGAACACAATTTATGAAAAGACAACCGTGGGCCAAATTTTCTTTTCAGGTATACGAGAGTACTTCTAAACATACGAGTTTCCACAAACAGAATCCAGCCCAAGTTACTATTATATATTATAAACCACATGGAGTACTAAAAAGATTTACTTCAATCGTAAGTCATTAGCAGGATTAACATACATGAATTCAAATCCAATATTTGCATCAACTTTGTTCTTAGGAATAAGTTTAAATGTTTAAAACAAACTAGATTTTAATATCTTCGTATTGCAACCATACCTAGAAGAGTTAGCACAGAAACGTCTGTAAATCAGCAAGAACATTACTTTTCACAAAATTAAACAATCGGCATTAATTTCATTAGCAAAAGATGGCATTAAGTCTGTCAGCCACAGTCTGAGTATGCATTTAATACCCAAATCCTGTGACATTTGTTCCCACTTAGAGAAGATTAAAACAACCAACTAGCCCCTGAAAGAGAAATATTTTGCCATTCAAATGCAGCAGAACCTGCGGGACTGCAACTCAGCTTCCCTTTCGCACACGCACCAAAATCCATCCCAAAGTATCACAAAAACAGCTCCGTATGAACCCTTTGGCTTATGTTCAGCCATGGTGTTACTGAACGCCACTAGAAGATACATTTAGGGTGATGGTTTTAAGCTAAAGTCCGGAGGTTCAGTCAGAGCTCTTTAGGATACTGGGCAAATCACTAAATTGCTCTGTTTCCACTCCCTGTCATTCCCTCCTGCGCAAGGGCAGAGCCAGAGTAACTCCACGTTACACACTCCGATGCTGCAATGACTGTGAAGTTTTCACAAAGCCTCTGACAGCAAGTAGCAGCACAGCAAACCTGTCTCTGAAACCACCACCCTACCCACGGGGACACTGGAATACAGAGTTGGCAAACTGGGAATGGATCTTACAGAATTTCCTCCCGCGTCTGCCACGAGGTTAGGAAGTTTCCTAACTTTCCTGGTTCTTTTATGCCCCAAATTTTCCACAACTTAAAAAAACAGGGGCGATGTCTTGCAAGTCTTAACTTCAACGTGAAGTATGCTTAGAGTCTTGAATAAAATCCAATTAAAAAAAAAAAAAAAGAAAAAAAGGCAAAGCATTAGTATAAAACAAGATCTTAACTGCAGTCATTTAGGATTTACAACACATCTAAAACCACTTACATGGAATTAATAGGTTATTTTTAAACTTGTGAAAGTTTAAATTATAAATGCTGCTATAGCTAGTGGCAAAGTTAAGAACCCAATAAAAGCACAGATTTGCCAGATTTTTCTTAAAAGGCAGCCGAGTGGTGCAGTATTGGGAATTACAGGAGAGGTTACAACACTCAGCCAGGACTCTGCTTTTATTATATCCTGTCTTATCCAAACTCTGGCAGAGAGCAAGGTTTCCTAAGATCACCTCTCCCACGCTAAAGTATTTTGAAAACAATTTTCTGAAATATTTAATGTATCAGTTCAGAATGGAAGTTTCAGAACTTTAACACTGCTAAGACTACACACTTTAAAAGGAAGCTACAACTTTGAAAATGCATTTACAATGCACATGGAGACAAAGCTGTACTGATACTTAAAAATGCTTCACGTGAAACAAACGATACCCCTTTCCTCTATAATTTTTTGAGAGGGGAGTGGTTATAATAGGTAATTTGAAGATAAATTGGGCAGAGCTGACAAAGCTCCTGGGAATAAGTAAGAACCAGGCATTTACGAGGCATTCACACCTAGCACACAGTGTGAACCTGCTCTTCCAAAGCCAGGAGACACCCAAATTTAAGCAGACAGTTGCAATTTATGGAGGAGGAGATTAATTGCCTTGCAACACCTCAGATAATACAGCAGCGTAACACAGAGGAACTGACCATCACATATTCCCAACTTGTTACCTCTAAAGTCAGGAAGACAGTTACAGAGATGAATTTGACGTTGAAGTGAAGAGGTTTTGAAGACTCTTAGTATCTCCAGGTCCTTTTAAAGTGGAATATGAACTTTTTTGAGTGTACAGTTAGGAAGTGGTTTGATAAAGCAACACAATGCTAGTGACTAGTTAGGATTGGTCCTATGCCTTCCCTCCAGCTGTGCATTCTCATCACCTCTTCCCTCCCACCACCACCAGTGCCAGTGACATCCTACTACTTTGGAGCCTTAAACCAACAGAAACCTAACCCTAAAACATATACACGTGCACTTAGAAATATATGTTGGTGATTGGAGGGCTACTTTGGCTTCCCAAATTGGAGAAATCTGAGGGTTGGCACAGGCCAGGAAGAGGCAGTTGAGCAGAAGAGCAAACAGCCCTTTTTGTGGCACCAGCCGTTAGAGCAACGGTGCACCTCGGGAAGGCCAAGCCAAAACTCAACAAGTTTCAAACCCATGAATGATCACTGTCAGGAATAATTGTTAATAATGCCCCCAGAAAACAGCTCTGCATTGCCAGGTATCCAAAATGCTAGATAGCAAAACGATGGTCTTTAAGATGGTTTACTGAATAATTACCAGCAAGGGACAATTGCTGATCATTCATGGAAAATACACGTCCCACCTTCAAATTTAAATGATGTTAGTATTTTCCCTTCACGTGTTGAGAAAGGGAAAGCAGCCCATGACAGTGCAATGAAGAGAGGTGAGTTTGTGTTGGAATATTTTTCTAAAAATGGTCATGTAAAGGAACTGATTGAATCCCTACAGATGACTTTTTTTTTTTTCCAAATACAATCAAACTGCAGTCTAACCCCTCTTCCTAAAACCAATTGAAAGCAAAACAAAACCTGAAACCAGAAGGGTGTGAGGCCACAAGGCATTAAAGACCAATGATTCTGTGAGATCAAGCACTATGCTTCTGTTCACCATCCTGACACTGTTCTTGCTAATTGGAATATGCAGTCCCCGACTGAGGATAAATATTTTACAGACACTTATGAGACAGAAGTAGTTCAGGAATCCATTAACTGCAGGAACAAATTAAATTTTATAGAACAGAAAGTCTTCAAGACAATCTCTAAAAAACAAATCTTAAAAACACTAAAACCAGTCACAAAAAACACCCATCAAATTTGACTCAACATACCACACGAGCTTCAAATTATTAAGTAGATAACAATTTGCTAACAGCTTTAGACATTCATAGCCACATATTCTTCTCTACAGTTTTATGTACTTCAGATTGTTCCACCCTTCAAAAAAAAAAGGCAAATTGAGTAGAATGACACAGAGTTCAAGTAAAGTTTTGTTGATTCTTCAAGGCTATGAAAAAAGAAGCTGTCACTATAAAATAAGCTTAAGACACTTTTTTTTTCCTTGAGTAATACCTCCTTCTTTGAATGCACTTGTTAAAAATAAATATTAGAAATCTTCTGGTTTAGTGCTCTGTCAAACAACTTGCCATTGCTCTTTCCCTAACAATATTCATAAGTTACTCCCTGACAAAAAAAAAAAAAATAAATTGTTTTGGCATTACCAGCGATACACTTGATGCTGACAGTATGGACATTTGTAGTTCACAAGCATGTCTTTTCAGTATGAGTTAAATCACACACATAACTCAGTGCTTGAAAAATACCATTCTGCTCTGATCAGCATCCTTATAATGGCAAACATGACTTTGCATGAAACAATGTTTTCAAGTCTTTTTGTATTTCTATTTTGTTCCAGAAGGTAATGCTTTGCTCAACTTCATATAATCCTACTGTATTCCCTCTTCAGGGTTTTAAGAGGCACGGTTCTGGAAATCCTTCTATAAATCATATAAATCCTGCTATAAATTATACCAGACCCTAAACCAGGAACATTCAGGAAGTTTAAGGCCAGATGGAGTCCATTAGTCTCACCTCCTGTACTCATATCCTATTAAAATTTTACAGAGATACTCCTGAATTGAAGGGTGTCTTGGCTCCTACTAAATTATACCTTTCAGAGAAGGGACCAGCCTTGATTAAAACATCAAGAGAGAAGAATTCATCATTTACCTTAGCAAGGAAGTGCCATACACTCCCATAAATGTTCTGTTTTGCAGACGTAACTTTTCCTATGAGTAAATCAAACACAGCTAAACTCCCACTATGCACGTATACCCCTCAGGCCAACTTACACTCAGTTTCATACACCTGTGGACAGATTAGCATCCTAAAAGCATGCTTTTCAACTGACGCACAAGTTTTTTCCATAAGAAATGCTAAACATTTCAAAAGACAGGGTGACAGCTTAATCAATCTTCTCAATAGTGCAGCAGGAAGAATATAAAACTTATAATACATCATTAGAACAGCAAGACAATCTAAGCAGCACAAGAATTTCTGCATGCTGCATACACTACCTCACCTGTAAGCAGCAATACAGTGGTACTTGTCTTTTTTAAAGCTAGTAGATCAAAAAGTCTACAAAACCTTTAACAGTGTCTCTCCATGTATCACTTAACATTTATATGCTAGCCATGCTGAAGTCTGTTTCAAAACCATTGTGCAAGAATTACTAAGCACTCATAAGACTCTAGTGGGCCGAGTACTTTTTAAAATACAAACCTAGGAACTGAGACGGAATGATAAAATGCACTACCAAAGGTCACAAAAGTCAATGTCAAAACCAAGATTAGAAGCCTTGAATTCCTGGATCCTAGCCCTGTGCTCAAACCTTCAAACTTAAAACATCTATTAACGAAATGTAGGAACTTCAGCTGTATGCTTTACTTATACATGCACAGGTCACAGGGGGACTTCATTAGGAAGACGGGTACTTCCCCCAAAGCTTGGCCTTATCCACAAAAAAGATTATTAGACGTATTTCCACAAATGTCAACCCTTTAATCCTCTCCTCCCCAGCCCCAAACCACTCCCCAAGTTCTGCCCTCCCTGCCCCCTCTGACACTTACCAAAAAGCAAAGTTGTGGCCAGTTGTGGATAAAATACCTATATGTGTAAATGGAGTAGGGTTCAGACAGATCTTTGGTGATCAGTCTCATGATATCGGGCATCTGCAGCTCGGACTCATATCGGACGTATCGTATCGTTAGGTCCTCCTCGGGCTGAGAGTCCGTTCCCGAGCCTTTCAAACTGCAAGCTGCTGTTAAGGACCTGGAGAGTAGCAGCAGGGACTCCTCCTCCTCCCCTCCTTCATCCCCCTCCTCCTGCTCTTCCTCCTCCAAGCCAGTCCCTCCTGCCAGTCCATTGCGGGCTGCAGTCTTAGCAGCAGTTGTAGTTGTGGCAGCAGGCTGGCTCCTGTCCCCTGTTGCTGCTGCTGGGGGAGAAGGAGGAGGAGAGGGTGCAGTCCTTCCCTGGGGAGGGAGGTGGTTGGTAAGGGAGGATGAGCACGGTGCTGTGGTCGGGGGCGATGACTGCTGCTGCTGTCCGGAGCCCATTGTTTTGCTGGCTCGCTTGTTCTCCAGCCCCTCGGGGGCTGCCCCTGCCTCCGAGCTGAGGATCTTGCTCTTGAGGGAGGCCCGCAGGTGCCGCAGCTCGGGGCTGATGAGGCCGTTGAGCTGGTGGTTGTGGTGCGGGGGATGGTGGTGGTGATGGTGGAGGCGGTGCTGCTGCGGCCCCCCCTTGCCGCCGTCGCTGCCTCCTCCTCCTCCTCGCTGCTGCCGCTCCCGTCCGCCCGCGGGTCCCTCCTCTTCCTCCTCCTCCTCTTCGGCCTCCTCGTCCTGGGCCCCGGTGCAGGCGGCGGCGGCAGCAGAGGAGGTGGAAGAGGAGGAGGAGGAGGAAGCAGCCCCCCCTCCTCCTCCTCCTCCGGGGAAGGGGGAGAGCGTGTCCCCCTGCGGGGAGAGGACGCTGCTAGGCCCCGGCGGTACCTCGGCCATATCCTACGGGAGAGACCGACACAAACCCACCCAGGAGGAGGGCGTCAGACCAGACGGGAGCGAGGGGACGGAGGCGGCGGCCTCACGGGCCGCGGTCGGGGTTGGGGAGGGGAGAGTGGGGGGGGGCGCGAACAAAGGCAGAGACGGTGCCCGGGCCCCGCCTCGCCGCCCCGCCGCCGCCTCTTCCTGCTGTCCCGTTCCCCCCGCCGCCGTCGGCGGGGCCCTTCCCCGGTCCCTTACGGGCCCCGGGCGGCCACCCGCCGCGGCCTCCCCGCCCGCCGCCGCGGCCACTCACCCCCGCGTCTCCTCAGCGCCGCGGCTCCCACTCTCCGCTCATCCAGCGGCCGCCAAGCGCGGCCGCCGCTGCCGTAACCCGCCGCCAAGTTTCCTGTCAGCCCTTACGACACTTCCTCCCTTGGCGGCGGGGCCTAGCGACGGCGGGGCGGGACTGGGGGAGATGGCGGGGCCCAGCCGCCCTCACGCTGCCCGTCCGGTCCCGCCACCCGGAGCCCGGCGGCTTTGCCCCGCAGGGTCCCGCCGCCCCCGCTGGCCGGCCAGGGGGAGTCGGGGCACCCGCTGCCCGAGCTTCTGTGGGAGTCGCGGCCTGCCCGATGGAGGCTGGCACTGGGGTCAGGCTCCGGCCTATGGGGCGGCGCGGGCCTAGGCCGGTGTGCGGTGTGGATCCTCTGGCGACGGCACCGTTGCCCTCAGACGTCTCCCTTTGCTGCCTCCCCTGCCCATACTCACACCCTACAAGATGCTCACACGAGTGTTTGTGATTTGATCACCCCAAGGCTGACAGGGCACAGGCACTGCCCACAAGGACGCTGCCAGCAGTGTTGAGTCTAGGGGTGGGCGCCAGCAGTGTTCTGGTGAGACTGGTGCGGATCAGGGCAGAGGGCAGGAGTTGGGGCTCCTCTTTCACAAAGCAGCGTGAGAGATGTCTTTCCTCGTCTGGGTAGGCAAAGGCTGGCCTTGGGATTCCCACAGATAACAGTAGAAACTCAGCAAAGCTGAAAGAAGTAGTCCCAAATGGCCCAGTTTCTCCACTGCTGTTCTGCGTTCAATAATCTCCATTTTAAGAACACGCTACTAGATCTCATAGCAACAAAGGAGTCCTTTAAATCTGAGGCATCCATTAAAATACACACACGGCCCCTCTAAGTGCAGAGAAATAGTGGGTTCTTCCTTTCCTCACATGAAAGCTTTGCAGGGCTATTTCAAGACCTGCTCATTTTCATTTGCTACAGTTATTTTTCAAGGAAGTGACAGGTCTGGACTTAAAAGGAAAATCCAGCAACTACTCTACATGTCCTAACAAGGTTCTTTAATTAGGAAGAAAATAGACTGTGGGGTTACAGGCTTCCGTTTATGAATTGCTGAGTTCTGAAGTCAAGTAGGAAAAGAGCAAAATACCTATTTGAAAGCGAGTGAATTATAAGGCTTTTATTCAAAGTAGTTACTGACAGAAATACTTAATTTTTTTTGAGAATGAAATGGGACTCGGTATTCTCTTATTTATTCTTTTCCAAGACTCCATTTAGAAAAACAAATGCATATTATCCCTATTTATGTACCATGGAAAAAAGCCTCTTTTATGTGCTCTCTGACACACTGGTAACTTTGTGTTTTCCTTCCAATACCTGTTGAACCACTTCCAAACGCAGAAGGTCCTAGTTCTGATGTTGATCTTAACAGTTCCTTGTCCATAGTTAGGGTCTGTTGGACCAAAGGCAGACGTGGGTAGGACAGACACCTCTGAGCTGGTGCCTTTTATTCCCCTTAATGTCGATGGAGAGGAAAAGACGCTGCTGTGGTGGGATTCGGCTTGCCCTAAAGTAGATTTCTTAAGCAGATGAGGTGAATTGTGCTTTGGAGGTCCCATCATCCCATTAAAAAAAGGGAATTCAACATAACCTGTTCAACTTAGACGGATACCCCCTCCATCACTCTCTGAAGTTGTGTGGAAGGTGTCCTACGGCCTCTGTTGAGATGTTCTCGGTCTGGGTGCCTACTGTACCTCTGCGTTGTCTTATTTCTTGTCTTTATTATGACAACAGCTGCTTTTCAAAGGGATGTTCAGAACCAGAAATGGCACCTTTTTCTTAATGGCTTGAAGTGCGTTTTTTCCCTTAGGTTTCCTCTCACTGTTTTTTGAACCCTTGAGCACCCTCTTGCTGTTGCAAACCACACCTTCTGAAGTAGAGATGGGGCTCGAACACAAGCCTCATTGTTTCTACTTCTTTGTTCAGTAACTCTGTGACCTTGGGGGTTTCTATGGCTAATTTATTTGTTAAGAAAACAACACACACTTAGGGAACTCTTCCTGTATTGTTGTTATCTATGAAAAGAAAGGGAGCTGTTGAAGGCCTTCCTCTTTTTCTCCTCAGTGTTTAAGGCAAGTACCTAGACATGGATTTAGCTTCACAGTTGCTCTATCTTAGATCTGAACTCAAGGAATCCTTGGTGGAAAACAGACATCTAAATGTGCCGTGTTCCCTGTCATAATAAAGGTCACATCCCAGCCGCACCAGAATAAGGGTGTTGGAGACAGAATATTGATTTATACATAATCTGGGCAATAAACAGTAGGAGCAGGTCTGTGCCTAACAAAGAAGCATTCTTTTTTTTTTTTTTTTTCTTTCCTCAAAGAAGAGGAAGTAGTTTGACGTAAGCGTTCGACATGGAAGTAGAATTCCTCCCAACTAAAAGTTCTCCGTTGTTCTTTACGTATCAACAATGATTCTTTAAAACAGTTACCCAGCATGTAACAGTGACCATGTTACTTGAACTCTGGATTCAGCAACAAATCAATAATAAAACTGTGTCTTTCTTTCCTTTCCAGTTGTCCCGTTCAAAAATAAATGAGATATTTTAGAACCTGATTTTTCAGGTAGTCAGGTAAAAGTTTTTCATGGGCCTTGTCAGTGTTGTGGCCCTGAGGGCATCCCCCTTCCTGGGGGTCTGCTCATTTGGCCTTTGGGACAGCTTTGAGGTAGTACAGTTGATGGCCAACCAGCACGACCATGTGTGCTTCACCTCACACTTGCCCCATCACCGTGGAGTTGTCTGGCCATCTGTACTCTCAGCTGAACCTGGTCACTGTCACCAGAGCTTCTCTGCTCGCTTTGCTCAGGTACCATTGGGCTGTGCCTTTGTTGGTGAGGTCACCCTGCTGTCCTCACCTTTTCCACCCAAGCCTACCTTGCTGTCACAGTTGGTCCCCGGCTCCCCTTCCCTTCTGGAGCAGCGTCCAACGTCCCTGTTCCTTGGCAGCCTGGTGTAAGAGCACGCCTGCACCCATGGAGGGATGCAGGGGTGGAGAGCAGGGGTCCCAGTGCTAATTCCCTTGTCGTCTTTGTAATCCTTTAAGGATTAGAATGGGTCCAGAGAAGGGCCACAAAGATGATCAGAGGGCTGGAGCACCTGTCCAATGAAGACAGGCGGAGAGAGTTGGAGTTGTTCAGCCTGGAGAAGAGAAGGCTCTGGGGAGACCTTATAGCAGCCTTCTGGTACCTAAAGGGGGCCTTTAGGAGAGATGGGGAGGGACTCTTGATCAGGGAGTGGAGCAATAGGATGAGGGGTAATGGTTTTAAACTGGAAGAGGGGAGATTTAGATGAGATACCAGAAAGAAATTCTTTACTGTCAGGGTGTTGAGACACCGGAACAGGTTGCCCAGAGAAGCTGTGGCTGCCCCATCCCTGGAGGGGTTCAAGGCCAGGCTGGATGGGGCTTGGAGCAACCTGGTCTGGTGGGAGGTGTCCCTGCCCAGGGCAGCGGGATTGGAATTCGATGATCTTTAAGCTCCCTTCCAATTCTAACCATTCTATGATTCAATGATCAAGAGAGGGTATGAACAAGTGCCCAGGGTGCGCAGGTTCATGAAGTGGCCTGCTGCTAAATATTTGCAGTTTTAGTACTTTGGGTGCTGCACTTGTGCCCCTGTGCTGGGGCAAGACCTGAACTAGCATCTCCCCAGGGCCACACTGGCTACTCTGGCTGAGCTATAATCTCTTCAGAGCTCAGCCATGAACTGTGTGGACAAAGACCATGTCATTCAACTAAAGCAGCCTTGGCTTTGGTCCACTACATATACAAATACCAGATGATGGCAAAGATGGACATGCAAGTCTGAATTTTCTACGCTGAACATTTAGAGAGGCAGAGGTGGAAATTCCAGGTCTGTCCAAGTTCCTGAGGCGGCAAATATAGAATTATATAGAAATTTTACAAGTTTCTAGGCAAAGAAAAAGTGGAAATCAGTAAAAACAAAGCGTATTTGTCTGTATCAAATAGTGTTCTTTGGCTCCTACTGAGGAAACTGGTTGTTTAACAGTAGGATTCGTGCTCAGAGAGGGAATCTTCCACGTAAAATGGTCAGTGTGGAAAAACTGTGGCTTAGAAAGTGTTGTAACAAAAGAAATCACAAGAGGGTAGTGTTGTACAGCGCTCCAGCCTCTCTGCAATTCCCACAGCAATGACCCTGTGCCATAAATCCACTTTATTTTACCAGAGGAGGAAGATAGGAAAATCACTGCCTGCATCTCTTGTGACAGCAGTCCCTGGGAGGATGACATTTTCCTCCGTGCGATACAAGGACTTGTAGTGTCAGGATCAATACAGCAGCAGAATTGCCACCTCCACCTTTGTAGCTATGTTGAAGCCAAGTGTGAAATGACAGTGAGAGAGGTTTGACAGGTTAAAAAAACCCAATAAAACCCAGAGATCTGTGAAGAATGAGTCTATCATGACAATATTTATTCTATTTCTTGGTCTTACCTTTTTTTTTCCTACCGCAGATGAAATCCTTGATAACTAAAGTTGATTTCTCTCACCCATCACAATGGCAAGAAGAAATCATGACTCAGCAGGAGGAGTAAAATGTGTGTTGGGAACCTCATTCAAGAATGCTCCTTCTAATAAGGAGCTCTGGAGCTTTTCATGAAGAGTTTCTTTCTATCTTTGCTACCCTTCCAAGACTACTCTCACTTCTCCCCATCTGGTGGGGACACAGCAGCTCTCACTGGTATTGCATCAAACAACGGAAAGAGCAGAAGGTATCTCCATGCCTTTCTGTTGCACCCGGGTGTGATGTGGGCTTAGAAGCCCAGTGAAAATGTATTTAAGAGCAGAGATGCTTATTTAGAGATGATTTCATAGAAAAGGATTGATTCCACTATGCCTGGCATCTGGCCTGTGAAGCTAATGGGGAATAATTGATTTTAAATGATGTGCTGCTGCACTGTGAGTAGCCAGAGAAAGCTCTTCTCTTCCAAACCCTTTACCGAAAAGGGGCAGAGAAGGAAGGGTTTGGGGGGAAGCTGCAAATGTGGTTTTTGGGAAAGTTCGATGTATGGCTGCAGGGCTAAAGTCAGTGGCTAAGATCTCAGCTGGTGCGTATAGACCCAACTCTACTGAAAACAG